ATATGGTACCCCCCCCCAAAACCGACATTTTCAAGATTGTAACGCTTTTGGGATAGTTACCTTGTTCAGTTTGAGATCCAGTGGGGCAGTATCATACATATATATGCATATATATATATATATACACATATGTATATTATTTGTTATCTTACTATTACTAAATCCATGTACTTAGAGTATTTTTTACAAGAAGTATTTGCAAACGTTTGCAAACGCTTGCAAACGTTCCTGATCAGGATTCAAGATTCAAGATTCAAGATTCCCAGAAAGAATTCTTGAATCCAAGGGGATAGGATTCAAGATTCAAGATTCCCAGAAAAACTTCTTGAATCCAAGGGGATAGGATTCAAGATTCAAGATTCAAGATTCCCAGAAAAACTTCTTGAATCCCAGGATTCAAGATTCAAGATTCCCAGAAAGAATTCTTGAATCCAAGGCGATAGGTCTTGAATCTTGAATCCTGGGATTCACGAAGTTTTTCTGGGAATCTTGAATCTTGAATCTTGAATCCTGGGATTCAAGAATTCTTTCTGGGAATCTTGAATCTTGAATCTTGAATCCTATCCCCTTGGATTCAAGAAGTTTTTCTGGGAATCTTGAATCTTGAATCCTGCCCCCTTGGATTCAAGAATTCTTTCTGGGAATCTTGAATCTTGAATCTTGAATCCTGGGATTCAAGAACTCTTTCTGGGAATCTTGAATCTTGAATCTTGAATCCTATCCCCTTGGATTCAAGAATTCTTTCTGGGAATCTTGAATCTTGAATCTTTCTAAGTACTTGGGTCCCTGGACTCGTTTGCAAACGTTTGCAAACGCTTTTGGTGACAAAATTACTCTAAGTACCTGGGTTCAACAGTAAGACAACAATTAATTTATACGTATATATACATATATATTGTACATGAGTTAAATAATGAGTTGAAGTGGAATTTCATCAGGTAATGGCATTTGTTGAAACAGTTTATCTGCAATTACAATATTACAACTCAAAGCACATTGACAAATAATCACTTGCAGATGTTGATTCTCTTGTCCATATAGCAAAAATATTGTTATATGAAAAATATCTTTACATATATTGTTAAATAGTTGAGTTACTAAACTGTCTGCAAGGTTATATGTTTTATATTTTATTAGGTAAGATATAAACTCAATTTCATCTTGTAATGTTTGTTTTAAGACATTCATATATATATATATTTGCATCATTAATATCAATTGTTTTTGGTAAAGAGATTTGTGAATTCTTGAGTAATTCATGTGCTATCATTCCATAAAAAGGTGCACAGTATTTTGAAGCCCTTTATAATATTTTTGACAGTGCATGATATTTTAGATGTTGCATATGTTGCATGCAAATATACATAAAATAGGAATGTCTACTTATTTGATTTGGTGATGTAGCAATCGCATCTATATAAGAAAAATGCTTTAGTGCAATATTATATACTTTTAATTTTACAAGTGCTATAAATCCTGCCAAGTTATGTATTTTTATATATTGTCAATATATGCTATATTTTTGCTAGCTTGATTAAGTAATTTGTAGGCAAGTGTATTTTTTAAATACTAATAGTTCCCTTGCATAGCATATTCTTAAGTCAGTACAATTTTATTGTCTCTTGAAAAGATGGGTTTAATATAGGAGCTAAATTTTGTTCTATTCTATATGGGTTTAGACGTATATAGATCTTTTCTGGAAAATAAATAATCAAAAATTAATCCTTAATTATATTGATGCTTATTATAATGTTATGATACATGTTTGTGCTTTGAGTATGATTTTGCTTTATTAAAATGCGACATTGCACTATCCTTTTATCCATATCTTTTAAACAACTGAAGAAATAAGAACTATTAAAATTTAATTGGTTTTGTAGTAATAGATTGTCGAGTTTAATTAAGTGATTTTTATAAGATATATATCTAGATATATATTTTATTGCTAGCGTTTAAAGCAGTTTTGCCAATCATTTTTAATCCAACTATTTATAGCAAGAGCTTTATTTATGTTTATTTTTTGGTAGATTGTAAAAATTGTGTGTATGTAATTAAAACAATAAGCAAGTAGAAAAAAAAAAACATACAAAAATAGCATGTTTTAGATATTTTGGCACAATTTGAATCACCAGTTTTTTTTCCCATCTGTTTCTAGTTCTTCTTCAGAGAATATGGATATATTTATTAGTGGCTCAAAAAATGAAATAACTATGGTGGAAGGATGTGGAATGGAATTTCCAGAAGACAGATTATTAAATATCTTAGATGAGGCTTTAAAGCTTTTTACTCCAGTTCTAAACTTGATATTAGATATGAAATCTAAAATATCAAAAATAGAGTTTATTTCCAATATTCCTCTAGATTCTCATGTTGCTCAACGTAATTGTCAGAAGAAATCGAAAATCACTCCAGTATACTTATTTTAAAAAGCACGCTATTTACTCAGTCTTCAAAACAAGAAAGAGAAAAACGTCGGTTTTGGGGGGGGGGGCTAGCATATATATATATATATATGCGTCGTCGACGAGAACGCAACGCAGGAGGCGAGGAGCCAGAGGATGCAGAGGATGGAGAGGAGGAAGCAGAGGATGCAGGCGAAGGAGAGGAGCCAGAGGATGGAGAGGAGGAAGCAGAGGATGCAGGCGAAGGAGAAGAGGAGGAAGCAGAGGATGCAGGCGAAGGAGAGGAGCCAGAGGATGAGGATGGAGAGGAGGATGCAGAGGATGCAGGCGAAGGAGAGGAGCCAGAGGATGCAGAGGATGGAGAGGAGGGTGCAGAGGATGCAAAGGATGAGGCTGAGGATGAGGAGGAAGAAGATCCAAAGCCAAAGAAGGCAAACTACGGGGGGGAGACCAGTCTGCAGAGGTTATAAAGAGCCAAAAAACGAAAATGATGTAAACTACTTTGGAAAGGGCTTGGGTGAATCCAAGGGGTGATGTGAACTCATTTGGAACATGTTACAAGACCCTTTGCAGCCCCCAGTAAAGAACACTTACGAAGTATCGGTGTGACCCCTTTCCGATTTGATTTTCTCGTTAAAAACCCAAAGCGGCTAGCTTTTGTTATTTTCTTTAGGGTTCTAAAATGGTCCCCCATGTTCACCCACTGCCAGGTGAAGAAGCTGGCTGGCAAGGTCCCAGCTGCTGGTGATCCACCTTCCACCATCCGGCTGAGGACTAAAACTACTTTGGACAGCTTGGATTCTGCCAGCTTTGTCACCCCCAAAAGGAAACAAACTGGCGGATCGCCTGCCACCACCAATACCAGTGACACACCCGGGTCCAAGTTTCTTGGATATGATGAGACTTTACTGATATGATAGGTATGGATGTGTGTTCAACAACGCTGTAGTTTTCCTGTCCGCATCCTGCTTCTTTGATACCTCTCTTCAAGGTTGCCTAAAAGATCCTACACGGGTTTGAGTGCAACTTGGCGCAACAGTATTGATGATTCCGTATTCTGAACCTATCGCGATGAATCGCTATCGATCTCTTGTGAGTTTTCGATTTTAGTAGCAGGAAAAAACATATTTGAGAGAGTAAGGCAATGAGAGTCCAATCCCAAATTATTCTTTTGATGTTACTTGAATACACAGATTTGTTTTGCAATGTGTTCCCAAGTTGTGACATTAAGGACGGAAAGGGATCTCCACACCAGGCTTGTTCTGACCTTTTCAGATTACCCCCTGCCACATTTTCTCCAAACAATTGCCGAGCTGCTCCAGGCCAAAGCTGTGATTGAACCGAAGAAGGATGGCCAGTTGATTCGCGTTCCTTGGATCGATGGATCATATGCTCAAGGTGGCTCAGGGGTTGTTGTGGGAATATTTTGGGATATAACTGGTTATTGCCTAGCTCAGGCTGGAAAACTGTCGGAAGAGAGCAAGGAGAAAATTCGCAGCCTGAGCCAGGGTGACATCCCGATCCAGAAAAGAAGGGGCCTCTACAACGCGATGGGCCGCAGATTCAAGCATCCAGTGGGATTGAAACCAGGACTACTCCAAAAATATTTGGCATGTGTCTCCTGCAAGAAGAACAGGTTCAACCTTCTAAAGGAGTTCCTCATCCATTAGGATATGCCCATCCCTCAAGCCTTTGGTGAGAAACATATATACATATCTTTCCATGAAATTTCTTTTCCCAACCCATCCGTTTTGAAAGGATGGGGGTGATCCTGTAGGTCAGAAGTGGAAGTGGAGGCCTACTTTGTTCAGCCCTCACCTTACTTAAGTGTCCAAGGCGAAACATGCTTATATATCCCAGCATTGCCGCAATAACTTTTTTTATGGTAGCAGTTCTGTGGCCATACGCCTTAAGGGAAGCTGAGAAGAAAAATGAAGACATTTACGAGAAGTTGCCCCTCTTTCAGATCGAGCAAGCATACGGCGGAACGGAAGGTGTCTCGCCTATTGATTGGTGTGGCTTCTTATGTACAATCATGATGCAACCTGGGGTTGACTGGGTTGTGAATGTCACATTGCCCACCGCAATCCCTTAATTTCTTCATCCAAGGGCTTTCATCGCTCGAATCAAAGCCAGTCCGCTACCCAGTTTTATTAGATAGGAATAAAGACCTTGTGTCCCTCATTCTTGCAGAGGCCAAAAGGGAGAACCACATGCCCAAGTGCCTCGGCCTAGTGTTGAATGCACCCTTTGCCAAGAAGCAGTTGCGCCGGCTAAACCGGCTCCACCATTATCGTCATCCTCCAATCCAGCCACTGCCAATCCAAATTTCCTGACGATGAGCGCTTCAAGCTCTACAAGATCTACAAGAAATTCAAGGCTACCAGCAACTGGTCTCTTAATTTGGTAAGCGCTCCGAAGAGCAATGGGGTGATCACAGGATATCTCAATATGGAACGAAACACCCTGGAATTTTATTTTGATTACATTCCATTGGGCCCCAAGGTGCTGACATTGCCATCTGGCACCAAGCAGTCCGCGGGTGGTTTGGTTACTAGCAAGACTGGGAAGAAGGCACTTGGAGAAGGCTTGGATGCTATGGCGGCATCCATGAAGACTGAAGAGAAGGGTGCCCCCAAAGCGAAAGCCAAGCCCAAAGCGAAATCGCAAGCCAAACAAAAAGATGAACGCACCAAGACTTTGCAGAAGGATATAAAAGCGTTACTTACCAGAATCATTTCTTATCAAAATCAATTCTTCAGGTTTGTAACTTCAAATCTTGTTAGTGGGGGGTTCTTCACTTCACATCTTGTTAGTCTTGCCAAGGCTCCGGGACAAGGGGCAAAAGGCCAGGGAACTGGCGATCGACCTCACTGCATGCAAGATCCCGCACCAGGAGGCTCTGCAATGTGGAGAATTGTTTCAGCTTCTACTCTTCCACACGTTTCCCAATATGGAGTGCTTAAAATCTTCCATTTGAAAAGTGTGGACATAGAGTTCCTAGTTCTGGTCATTCAGCCAGGCGATGAGCGAATCTCTGAAGGCCCACCACAAGCTTTTCCGAGACATGTCCGAAAGGAGACCCTGAACCAAATCTCTGCTGCAGCTTCTTGGGTGCTGAACCCGATTTATGATTAGGAAATGACAGATTGTCATGGTCAGAGGTTTAAGCCTATCATCAATGAGAGATATGACCCAGTAATGGGGCCGAGTAGCCATGTGTCACGTATTAAACAGCTATTCCAATTTTTATTTTAGGTTCCCGATGTCGCAGGATGGAAGACGCGGCTTTCAAAAGGATGTCGGTGGAGGAGATCTATGCGATCAGGGACAAGAAGATACGTGCCATCCAGGTGTCAGAGATTACCTTCTGATTCCCATTCATGCCACTCACACTTATCCCTTCCCAATTCATGCCAAGCTTCAGCCACCGATGTCTCAGCTTCTGCAGGCTGCTGCCATTGACGACATCGACAACGCCTCAAGCACTGTGAAGAGCTGGAAATCCCGCACCATGCTTGGATCCAAAGTCGATGTGAACAAAATTTATTGTTGATTGTTGATGGTTCAATTACCCAAAGCCCATTTGAGCGCAACTTCATATGTACCATTTCATTTTCAAGATCCAAAATTATCTTTGTGACGACTTCTTGAGGGCTGTTAATTTCAAATTCCACCGTCCGTTTGACGACAAGTTCCGGATGGTAGTTCAATTTCAAGATCCAATGTCCGTTTGAAAACAACTTTTTTACGATGGTTCATTTCCACATCAAAAGAACATTTTACGCCAACTTCTTGATGATAGTTCCTTTTCCATATCCAAAGTCTATCTAGGTATCAAAAAGAAAGCTGAGAAGCAGAAGAAAGCAAAGGAAGCCGATGAGGAGAAGAAGCGCCAGGAAGTGGAAGCCGAGGCTGAAGATGAAGAGGCTGAGGAAGAGGAAGATCTTGACCAGGAGGATGGCGAAGAGGAAGAGGAAGAGGAAGAGGAAGGTCAGGAAGATGCAGAGGAAGATGCGGAGGAAGAGGAGGAAGAGGAATGAGCGTGAGGATGTCGTTGATACGTAGTTGGTTGATGGATGTTGATGGCTACATGAGCCACCGGTGATATGATGTTTCCCCTACATATGCTGCACCAGGAACGGCATTTTGGGGGGAGGACCGAATGTGTGATGAACACGCACCTCCAGTCCATTGGTTTCTTCATACGTCGAAGTATGTATACATGGGGTCTCATGGGGTGATTCCAACTTCAAGGCCCCTGTGAAAGCATGGGGTGTCCTACCGTGAAGTGTTTGTGGATCTAGGGTCACGCAACCGCTCTGACGCCGAGGAAAAAACCGCAGTTTAGTTTTTGGGTTTCGATGTCAGATTGGCCTGCAGGGTCTGTTATTAACCCAAAACTAGGCTGGAACTTTAGCGGGTTACTCATGTCCTGCCAATAGTGGTCCACCGCATTTCAGGGGCATCTTTAGGTCGACCCCTTTTACAAAGAACTTTCATTTTCCCAGTTTGGACTTGCCTGGCAGGTTGGCCCGTGAAGGACACCGGTCCATTGTCGATGACTTGGTGAAAGATCTTTTCCGAAAGATGTCCGAAGAGAAGGTCCTTTGGCTAATAGAATTCATTGGAGCATTGTTCGGGTGATGTTCTAAGTATCTCCAACAATAAAACAAGTTTCAAAAAGCAAGATAGGTCCACGGCCTACCCGCCTACCCGCCACTGAAACCTTAGCCCCCTACCCCCTATGACATTCGACGCCCAGGCCAGTTGTCTTGTGATCAAGGAGCTGGTGACGCGGATCTCCAATCTCGACCATTCCTTGGCGCCGAAACTTGGCACTGCTACAAATATAAACTCATGAGGTACAAATATGCATATACATGAATATATCTATATGTAAAGTTTGTCTTAGCATGTACAAACATGTATCTATGTGTTAAGGTAGATCAATAGAGGCTTTGATTTTCCTGATTCGTCACCTCGTTGGGGTTTGGATCAAACATTGCAGTGCCCGCTAGCTATTCACCACTTAGAAGCCCAGGACTCCTATTCTCCAACTTCATGAGCGCTTCGAATGTGGAGGTGGTTGGGGGCTGGAGCGAACGTTCAACAAATGGGTCATTCAGCAACCGTGGCGAAAGCCAATGCCGTTGACATTTTTTGAATTTCTTTCCTGAAAACATATGAAACAATTTTCTTTTGGGCTCTGGCCACACCGAAGATGTAACACCCCGTGTGATTAAAACAATGTTTGGTGGTTGCAACTTCAAATTCCAAGGTTCGATGTCCCAGCCACTTGTCTTGCAGAGCATCTTTCGGGAACCAAACAACAAGGTAAACCAAGTGGTTTATTCTCTTTTTGTTGGGAATTAAATATCGTGTGTACGATTTATCTGACGGCTATGTATATTCAGAGACCCCCAGGTGCAACGGACAGAACAGCAGTGCCTTCCTGGTGGAAAAACGCAGTGCAAACAATGTGTCATGCCGCCCCACGACATTGTAGCAAGCCTCTACGAGTTCTCCCATATCTTCAATCCGATCTTTCTTGGTGAGCCTGGTGCCATAGATGAGTACTGGGAGAACAACAGGGACCTTCTTGATTCCCTTGATATGCCTGATCTGGAAGTTTGGCTTCACTTATAATTAGTGGTTTACATTTGCATTTGTCTTATTGATCATGGTTTGATGTAGCTATGTAGATACCCCAAAACAGTTCTCTTTCCATTCTGTCCCCCATACGCGCTTTAGGATACTTCGACATGCGTCCCACTACGCATATATGGGGATGGCGCTGAAGCGCAACAGCACTTCGAGTTGACCAGCATTCTGCCATGCTTGGGTTGTGGGCACAGCACTCTTGACACGAGACTTTTAACGTCTGTCCGTAGCACACAGAGAACGAAAGTGGTGGCCCGTGAAAAAATTCTGCAAACCCTTTCGTGGAGTTTCGAAGCTTTGCGAGACTAGGTCATTGTTTCAGTATATAGGCGAGTTGTTGATTTTGCGGGTTCTGGGAATGTTGTTGTAAATGTGGTTCAATCCAAAACATTCCCTTCCAAAATATTGCCCATGCAGAGGTTTGGGACGACATCCACGAGAAGATCCGTTTGGTGTTCCTTTCGGGGAGGACCACTATCCTGACCGATGGGCCAAGGCTGGTTCGCGTTTGGCTGGCCCCTACACTTTTGCGCTCGATGGGATACAAGGGGATCAAGATTTCATTGCGTTTCTTTTTGCCCTCAAGCGAACCCTGGCTGAGACAGGTTTACCCATTCTTAAGAACATTTGGTGGATAAGACAGACCCTGCAAAATTTAAAAATGGTTTGATGATCGGTGTGATCCTGCATAAATTTTGCATGTTTTTTTCCCCATTAAGTTTGGGGCATTTTACCCCTTTCTGGTGGGTTCAAGCTTACACTGATGTAAAACCAGGAAGCTACAGGCATCGTGAAGTCTGCTATCTGTGTCGGGCTGTGGCCTATTTTGATGCGGAAGGTGAGGATCAAACAGACCTCTTGTATACTAACTGGGGACGAGATTCAGCATACAGAGATGAGCTCCTCCGGTTGCAGTCAGTGAGCATAGCTGTAGGCGACAACTACCAAAGGCCATGGCTCACAACCATAGGCATGTAAAGTTTTAGTGGATTTTGTTTAAGGGTTTCTTGCCTTTGCATCCAAGGCTGATCACTACTGCTGACTTCGGTCATGTGAATGGGGCAACGCCCCTCACCAACATCCGAGGTTTTTCACCTTGGAGTGTTTTGGCGTGTTTGCCATGATCGCTCAAGTTAGAAATCTTAGTGTGGGGATATTAGGTGGAAAACCAACCTCCAAAGAATGTGTATGGGATATTCTCAATTCAAAAGCAGTCAGTTTCATTAGCTTCCCAAACATATTTGTTGTATTCATGCGGTATGGTGATATATCCATATTCCCATTCAAATTGTGATTTTTTGGGGAGTGACCTTGCGAAATACCAGGGATATATCCTGATTTACTTCATGTGCTAGATCTTGCAATCTATGTGGATGGCTTTGCGAGTGCACTCCTTCACTGGACTGATCGGGCCGACACCTTTGAAGGGCGATCGCGAGATGAACGTCTCACCAATGTGTACCGGCACTATTTGTCTTGGTGTGTTGAAAACCGACCCTGGAAGTTGGCAAGGAACTTTTTTTGGTTCCTCATGTTTCCACCCAAAAAAAAGAAACGGTTCTGTTGAACATGGAATTGGTTGAAATTTCCAAATTACCAGAGAAAGACCCAGTTTGGATGATGTCTATGTATACACATTCACAAATCTAAGCAGACAATATATGTGGACACATACATGTGCATATACACATACATATTTACATTCACAAATAAACATGGATACATACATGCACATAAATAAAAAATATGGATATTCAGGTAAACCTATTGAAGGCCCCTCAAGCCAACAAATCCAAACTGTTTGCGTGGGGACTTTGGTTTAATGTTCACAGTGTTGGATCTTTCTTCCCAAACTAAGTAAGGAGTGCCGAATGGCTGCCGTGCAAGAGCCCATTTCTTTCAGATTTCATCTCTTCAAGGTAAATCATCGAAATACCCAAGTGTGGGGCAGAAAAAACTCAACGGTGCAGCCAGCCGGGTGATGATCCAGTGGGCTACTTGCATATCTGATGAGATTTGCGAGAACCATCCATCGGACACCAACAGGCAGTGTGTTGTTTAGGTCAAAAATCAAGAAACCAACACACACACACACACACCTTTTAAACATATGGTTACCCTCTGGTATATTAACATAGGCCCCGAAAATAGATGAAAATAAAAAATGTTTGGTAGAAACTAGTCTACCAATCCTCTACTTGGCAGGGCCTATGTTCGTTTACAAGATGGTATTTTTTGGGGGGGTTAACCACCATGCCCCTGTTTAGGCAGCTCAAAGAGATCTTTGGGGCATTGTCTGAAATCGCTGTGGTCTTT